TTCATAATGTTACTAACTTATTAGTTAATAGTTGCAAATAAAAAAAATTTATTTGCATATACGCATATCAGGTTATTACTTTTTTTTTTTTTTTTTAAGATATATAGGAAAAAAACACAATCACCAGTATCAAATTAGGTACGACCTTTTTGATGCAAGGTATTTTAATTCCGACGCCTCGGACCTTCCTAAAAATAAATTTGAACTTACTGCACCAATAAAAAAAAAAATTAAATTTTATTTTTTTTTATTCAATTTTCGAAGCACAAAAATTGTTTCTCCAAATTAACGCATAATCGTACCAAATATTACTAATATAGACCTTTGAATCAAGATGATATTAGAAACTTATTATTTAGTTTTAGTTGTAACGAATTATTAAACTGGTTATGAAGGATTTGTTAACCTCAAGCACAATGAATTATCCTTGAAACTAGGAATTGGAATTAATCTTTTATTCCGGAATGATCATAATATATATATAGTTCTACTTGACTATTGCAAATTTTTCTTTTTATAAAAAGATAAAAAGATGACTTTAGAATGGATGAAGACATTATTTTTAACATCAACATATTCACAAAATTTTGATCGGCGGCAAATGATCGGCAGGCTGTACTATATAAAAATGTTCAATTTTCATTTTTTTTTTTTTCCCCACAAACATTTTTTCCCTTTTTTTTTTTTTAAAAAAAAAAAAAAAAAAAAAAAAAAAAAAAAAATAATGACTTTGTATCTTCCGGCTGATTGCCTTAATGAAATTTTTGAATATTTGGACGAAAATGATATACGCTCATATTTGTTTGTGAACCGTCTTTGGTGTGAAGCTTCTGTTCGGATTTTATGGAGAGACATGCAAAATTTTAAAACTTTAATCACTTGTCTTCCAAAGAAATCCAAAGCAATTTTATATAAGAATGGGATCGTAATTTCAACCTCAACTTCAAGAGCTCCATTGTTTAATTATGTAGCTTTTATCAAAAGGCTTGATATTACTGTTATTTGTAATGAATTAGCAAGATTTCAACAACTTTCTACTCCAAAAACACTTGACAATAATCAAAATTTGGTTACAACACGAGAAATACTTAAAATGCTCATGAATCAAACCTCTTTGAAAATTTTACATTGTGATTTTGACATATACAACATTCCAAATTTTACCGCTTATCCCGGAGTAAAGAATTGTTTAAGTAACCTTTCTGAATTTTCATGTAGTTCAAATATCTATCCTGAATTTTTTTATCAGATATCTCGAATTTGTCATAATTTACAATCACTAAAATTAATGTTATATGGTTTCATCTCGGATGGATTAACAGAATTAATTTCTGTTCAAAAACATTTAAAGTACTTGGACTTGAGTTTTGAAGGTTATTCAGAATTATCTGATTGTGAAAGTGGAACTGGCAAGGAATATTGTGACTGTTATATGGATGAAAGTCAACTACTAGCAAACATTCCAAACACATTAACCAAGTTACACATTTTTGCAAGGCCTTGTCACATGGAATTATCATTTATCTCTAAGCTCTCAGATTTACAAGAACTTTCATTATCATGTTTTAATAGAAAAGGATTAAACGATTTTGAAATTCTTCAATATACTACTCTTCAACAATTGCAAATTTTAACTTTTGAATTTAAATGTCCAGATGATGAATACCTGATCGATTTCTTAGAAATCAATGGAAAGAATTTAAAAAAACTTGACCTTGGCAAACAAAAAATTTATACTGATTCATTAAATTTAACTATATCCAATTTTTGTACAAATCTAAGGACGTTACGATTTACATATACATGTAAAACCTTGAATTCACTAAAATTAATTTTAAATGGTTGTAAACAATTGGAAAGCATGGATATTTTGTCTTGTGTTAATTGTGAAGGTTGTCGAGAAGACTATATATTAGAGCGTGAACTATTAGAGATGGTTGTAGAATTTTCACCTAAAAAGTTTCATGAGTTGAAGGTAGATATTGGATCTTGCGTAGATCAAGCTACAGCATTTCAATGGGAATTCAAGCCTATCTTTAAATGCTGGGCGAATCGTGTGCCATGTATTCCACTTTCTTTGACTATTCATTCGAATTTAGATACGGAAATTGCAATGAATGAAAGTAACGTCAAAGTAATTGAAGAGTTTAAAAAGTTGGGTGTTATTAAAGAAATTAAAATATTCAATTATCCATTAATCATATGCACCTGGTGAATGGATGTTTTACGTGTTTAATAATTATATCTTAAAAATAAAAATCATTTTATATGAGAAATAATTTTCTAATGTGTGAAAATTTTTAAATAATAATGTTGATCATTTCCAAATTCTTGATCATTTAATTTTAGAATTTTCGACTGATGTTACACAAAAATTGAGAAATTTTGACGGGACCTAATTGCTTGCTTTGTTAATGAGATAATCGACTATAAAAATTTAACCAAATAAAGTTCATGTATCACATAATAATATGAATCAAATATGTTTGGTGGGGTACCCCGTAAGGTGATTTTAATAGCTTAGCCCCCCCGTATCCGATTCTAATTTTTGGATTTTTTTTTTTTTTATTCAATATTCATAAACTTACTTTTAATTTCATTTATTAAAGGTCTGAATTCTTTTTTCTTTTTTTTGGCTTTGATCTACTACACTTCGAATCGTAATAAATTTGTTTATCGTAATTTCCTCTTAGGAAAGGCCCTTGAGTAAATTACGATGTCGATCGGTATCGGTATTTATTACTATAACAGGAACTTGACTCCGAACAATCAAATAAGAATATCAGCACTATATAAAAGGATAGAATTTTCAATGGTTTAACTATAAAAATGTTCGCAATTATATTCATTATCGTTATTTTCTTTATTTTCGCTTATTTCAATCATAGAAATAAGCTACCAAAAGAACTTGAAGGTATTCCATCCATTTCTATTTGGCCTACAATTTGGGCGTTATTACAACAAAAGCATCAAGACGAAGTTCAAGAGACGATTGCAAAATCTTCAGGAGACTATGATATTTATTTGGTTTGTACAAATTACATAAATTTTAATTTGTTATTTTTGAATAATTAATTATTTTACTTTGAAATATTATTTTTTTTTCCTTAGGATCGCATTGTTGGTCAAAATGCCATAAATATCAATGATCCTGCGTATCTTAAGGATTTCTTAACAAAAATAGGTGAGATATAATGTAAAAAAAAAAAAAAAAAAAATTGAGATTTCTACCATTAATGATTTTGATTTTTATAGAGGAAGATGATCCTCCAAAAATCAGTTTGCCTTCTGTAACTATGAGAGAATTTTTCGGTGATGGCTTAGTATTTTCGAATGGAGATGTATGTATAAAGTTAACATGAAATATTCAATGCCTAAAGTGATTTAAATTTTCTAAAGGAATTAATCATTTCATAGAAATGGCGAACTTCTAGAAAATTAGCAAATCCTGCTTTCAATAACGCATTGTCCCCAGACATTGTTGGGGAAATTACATTTGAACTTTTCAATTTCATGCAACAAAATTTAGATAAGCCGATTGATATATTCGAAATTATGCAACGTACCACGATCGAAGTGCTGGGAAAATTAGCTTTTGGATATCAGTTTGGTGCAAGTATTTAAATCACGAGAAATAAGTGCGACCAACTAAATCTATTATATTAATCATGAAATTTTTATTATTTTTTAGTGCTTGAAATCCGTCGAGGTTCCTCATATTATAAATGTTTATAAGGCTGTAATTGAAACCGCAGAATCCATTTATCATATTCTTTTTCCATGGTTAATTAAATTACCGACAGCTCATAATAGAAAATTCTTTAAGGCTAATGAAGAATTTAATGAGTTCATTTCTGACATGATTAAGGAAAAGAGAAATGAAGTTGAAAATAAGAAGGTTTCTAATAATGTTAATTCTGATAATGGTCGGATTGACCTGCTAACAGGTATGATACAGCATGCCAACCAGGAGGGAATTAGTACTGATTCCAAGCAATTAAGAGATGAAATGGTGGGCTTTTTCGTTGCTGGCCACGACAGTAAATATATTTTCCTTTATTTTATTAATTCTTAATAGTTAATTATATTTAATAATGATAATGATTATGACAACAGCAACTTCATTGGCGTTAAGCACCTCGTTTTATTTTCTTGCAAAGTATCCGGTAAGCTTTGATAAATAAATTTTCAAATCGCTTTTATTTTAATAATCAATATTTTTTTAAAGAATTAAAATACGTAGGAAATGCAAGAAAGAGCGCGAAAAGAAGTAATTAGTGTACTTGGAAATGAACCAATCATACCTACATCGGAACAATTAAAGGTAACGATTTCAGTCATTTTCACATACTGCAAATAAACTTAACTAAAACAACATTTTGTTTTTAAGGAAATGAAATATATCAACGCAGTTATTAAAGAATCCTTAAGAATTTATCCGCCATCTACAGGAATAGTCCCTCGAAAACTAACAAAGCCAATGAAAATTGGTCCTTATCTTATACCAGCAAACATCATATGTACGACGAATATTTGGCAAATTAATCATCATCCAAAATATTGGGAAAATCCTGAACAATTCAATCCTGAAAGATTTTTAAACAATGAAAAAATTCACGCATTTTCTTGGATTCCATTTTCTTCTGGTGTAAGAAATTGGTATGTATTTTTTTTTTTTAATGAATCGTTTATAAATCTACTATCCATTAATTACTTCGTTTTATAATTTCAAAGTCTTGGTCAAAACTTTTCTTTGATGGAACAAAGAGTAATTATTTCGATGTTTTGTAAGTATTCTTGACATTTATAATTATTGGTAAAAAAAGAATATTTTTATAAAAAATTAATTTACGTAATTTTGATTTTAAAAGTGCGTAAGTATAATTGGATTCTTCCTGAAAACAGCATTAATGAGAACAAGTTGCTGTTTGAAACTCAATTTTTATTAAAGCCTGTTGATCTAAAACTTGTATTTACCGAAAGGAAAGCATAATGTCTTAAATCTAAATTAAGGGAAATGGTTAATAAACGTAGTAGCGGAAATGATATAAAAAATAAATAAGTTCAATTTCACGTTTCGTTTTGTTAATTACAAATTTGTTAAGATGTTATGATTATATTGATTTTATTTGATTTAACCACTTATCATTACGAATCAAGTTACGAAGATGTAAAAACATTATTCCGAAACGTGATGTCTGCCCATATTGTTAAAAATTAAAGATTCTTTTATTGTCATATTGATAAAGCATTATAATGTAATTTAAAAGATTTTGTTGAAAACTGAAATTCATAAACGTTACTTTGATCATGTATTTAAAAGGAATGTCCGATAATGTGTAGGTACTGTAATTCGCGGCGGATAATTGTGTTTCATTTGACAACTAGATCCAGGATTACTAATAAAACTACACTCTACATAATTTTTTGCTAAACAATCGAAATTTAATATTAATAAAGAAAATGCTTGAATGTAGTAATTGTATTTTCTGTAGATATTTATGAATAAAAATGACTTAATAATTGTCACAGCATTGATTCTTCATACAACAGTATTGGCCCTATGCGAGTAAAAATAAAATAAATGAAATAAAAATACATTATTAGCAATTATCACGAAGCTGTTAGTTACATTTAATAAAAATGAGAAAGCTTGAAAAGCATTTTATTACCGCAACACAGTAGGATCCACCACCACAGTCGGTTGCACCCTTGAATGGAACAAATCTTAGTAAAGAAACAATAATTAATTCACATAAAAGGTAGGAATATAAGTTAATTACCAATGGTATGCAAGTATTATTAGTAGCACATTGTTTTCCCTAATTTCAAGCAAGTTGTTAGTAATAATAATCAATAAGAATTGAAAAAATAAAATACATTACCGCATCGCAGTACCATCTATTTCCACAATCGGTTGCACCCTAAATGCGCAATAAAAATTGAACAAATTTTAGTAAATATATAGTTGCTGTAATGTTTAAATTCACATTGTAGATGGAAATTTGAGTTAATTACCAATGGTTGGCAAAGGTTACTAGTAGAACATTGTGTGCCCTGATTTTAAGCAAGTTGTTAGTAATAATGATCATGATCAATAAGAAGTGGAAAATTAAAACATTACCGCATCGCAGTTGTATCCGTTTCCACAGTCGTTTGCAACCTTGAATGCGTAAAAATTGAATAATTTTAGTAAAAATACTGTAATATTTAAATTCACATTGAAATTGAGAATATAAGTTAATTACCCATGGTATGCAAGTATTGTTAGAGGCACATTTTTTGCCCTGATTGTAATCAAATTGTTAGTAATAATAATCAAAAAAAAGTGGGAAAATAAAAAATATATTACCGCATCGCAGGATGCATCATTTCCACAGTCAATTGCACCCTTGAATGCGTAGTAAATGGAATAAATTTTAGTAAAAATACTGTTACTGTAATATTTAAATTCTCATTGAACGTGGGAATATAAGTTAATTACCAATGGTATGCAAGTATTGTTAGAGGCACATT